CTAGCCGGTTTGGGTCAGTGGATAGAGTGACAACCTGCAGACTGAAGGGTCCCAGATTCAATTCCAGTCAAGGACACATGCCCGGGTTGTAGGCTTGATCCCCAGTAGGGGGTGTACAGGAGGCAGCCGATCAATGATTCTCATCATTGATGTTTCTATCTCTCCCTCTCCCTTCCTCTCTGAAACTACAGAACAACCACCATTCAGAACCACCTGAAATCTAGCTGAAGTCCTACAACTAAGGCTATAAAGAAGACACATTGAGACAAATCCTGCAACTAACAACATAAAGAAGAAGCCACATCGAAACTGGAAGGAGGGGTGGAGAGGCAGAATGGGCTAGTTCCACACTCACTTGGGTCAGACAAAAATTGGGAGGGATATCTCAGTGCAAAGGTCCCCCATGCCCTGGTTCCTGTGCCAGGAAGAGAAGTCCCCGTAACTTCTGGCTGCGAAAGCCAGCTTGGATGGTGGCTGAGTGAGACGGAGGGCTACTGGAGTGCCTGGCCCTTTAAAGGGCGTGTGCGTGGATTTAGACTCTGGCTCTGAAATCCAGCGCTGGGCACCAGGGACATAAGGGGAAGAACTAGATTGTCTGGTATCAGGATGAAAGCTGTAGGGGAAGCTTTCTCTCATACAGAAGTCCTGGTAGAGACTACTGTTCCTTTTTCAGGCCTTCTCCCCACAGAGCCAGCAGGCGGGCACCATATCTGAGTCTTCATCAACCTGCCTAACATTGTTTTCCCTGCCCTTGGGATTCCCTGAGTCCCTGCCCCACCCAGTGGCTTTTCCATAAAAACAGCTCGTCTGGGGTCATGGCTTCAGTGCGCCATGTACTTCTCATTAAGTGGCCCCAGGCCCAGCACCAGCAGCAGCTGACCTCGCTTTGCAGTTTGGCCTCTCCTGAGCCCAGGACAAGAAGCAGCCATCTGCAGATTGCTTTGTAGCTCATGCCAGGCGGCCTGAGGCAGGGTACAGGTGGGTGGCTTGTCTTGGCCTGCACCTTCTGGGAGGCCCCAGAGCCAGCACGCCCTGTGGACAGCTTCAGACTGTTGAAGAACTGTTCAACATCCTCCCTGGCACAGCTGATGCTCCACCGTGGTCACAGCCAGTTCTTCCAGCAAATTGTCGTGGGGGGAAGTTCCTCCATTGATGTTTCAATAGCAATCAAGGCTCAACTACAACAAGAGTGTGCATACAGCCCACATGGGATGGGGGGCAAACCTGGAGTACCCATGTTGGGTGATTGGGGAGGATGTGCCACTGGGCCCTATAAGACACCTACTACATAAGAGCTGCTACCGGGAGAGTACATAGAAACAAACACAGGGAGACAGCCAAATAGAATAAAACTCCAGAAAAAGAACTAAACATGATGGAGACAAACAACCTACTTGATGCAAAGAGAGTTCAGAATACTGGCTCTAAGGATGCTCAATGAACTTAGGGATGATCATTTAATAAATTCTATAATATCTAATCTCTGACTTAGTTGTGCACTGAATTTTTTAAAAGCACAAAAAGAAAATGTCCGAGGCCTAAAGACCATGGGTTACCAAACTGAAACCAATATTCACTGACAAGAGACTAGACTCCTCACTGGGACATTTCACAACACAGAGAACAAAAGACCATGAAAGGTCACCGACAAAGGCACGTCGGAGAGACTTTGCACCCCTTGACTGCAACACTGCAAACAAGGAAAGGGAGCTCTACCTTTACAATTCCAAAGTAAAAAAATGTTTTGACCTTGAACTCTATATATTTAGCTAAACCCTCAAGTGTGAGAAATAAAGTCATTTCCAGACATACAAGGTCTCAAAAACCTTACTTCCATCACCATTACTCTAGAACAGTGTTTCCCACTTTTGACATATGTGTACCCCTTCCATAATTTTCGTAACAGAGTACCCCTTGTACTCATGAGAACGTAGAATTAGGCGCAGCTAAGCACGGTGCAGTGCATATCCCCACCAAACTCTGGTGCAACGCGTACCCCCACCAAACTCTTCCACACTTTGGGAAACACTGCTCTAGAAGGATGTACTCCCCCAAAACAAAAGTGCAACTCAGAAGGAAGACATGAGGGACAGGAAGTGGGAGACCAACATGAGAGATGACAGGGATCCTTTAGTGATGGTGAAAGGTGACCCCAACATATGCTTGCAGACTGGAGGGCAACTGAGCACACTGCAGCAGTGTCACCCCAGAGATGGACTAACCGCCAAGAACCCCACTTCCATCGGGCTGTCTTCTTAACCTGAGGACTGATGCCCAGGAGAACCACGCCCATATCCCCATCAGTAGTTGGCTCACTGTAACCACATCCTGACGAGTCTCTCCCCTCGTGCTCTACTGAGGACACACGTCACTCACAGGAGTCCTCAGTTCTCCCTGGTGGCTGGAGGTAGGAAAAATGGGCTGGGAGTGGGGAGTGCTCAGCAGCCCACTCCTTCTCACACCATTCTGCTGCACGTCCAGTGCCTGGTCCACATGGCTGTCTTGTCAGGCATCTGACTGGACAACCCTGTTTCCCAAGACTCACCCATGACCTTGCTCATGACTTCCCCGGAGGGATCTCATCACCTCCCAGAGAAGCAGAAGTCAGACATGGCCTCTGGCCTCTTCCTGGACCCTCTGTCCAATAGGGACAGTGCTGCCCGCTCCTTGCACGGCTGGTGTGCTCTTGCCCTCCACCTTCAAGACCATGTGGTTTATTGTTTGGGATAGATTACACGAGGGTGGTAGGAAAATAAATAAAAACAAATACAAAAGTCAGGATGGTCATCACCTCTCGGACATAAGGATAAAATTCATTTTTCTGATTCTTGTCCAATAACAATATTCTGGCTTGTTGTAAAAAGTTTCCTAACACCAGGAGTCATGTTGGCTGTGGTTTGGTCAGGAAGACAAATACCAGGGTGGCCACTCCCAGCAGGACTCACACCTGGTAAGTCTGGGAGAAGAGCAGGCGAATGGAGGTCAGGCAGGGCCACCGCCACCCTGCGTCCCTGCCAGCTCTCAGGACTGGGACTTGGGAGTACAGGAAACCTCTGCAGTGGCCCCCGCCGCCTGGAGCACTGTGTGGCGGGTGAGTTTGGGGAGCACCACCATAGTGGGACCTCCTGTCTGCTAAAGCCGTGCTTCTGCTTGCTCTGCCAGAGAAGCAAATGATTTCTCAATGAATAATATAATTTCTTTCTTTTTAAATATATTTTATTGATTTTTTACAGAGAGGAAAGGAGAGAGATGAGAGCTAGAAATGTCAATGAGAAACATCGACCAGCTGCCTCTTACACACCCACTTCTGGGGATGTGCCCGCAACCAAGGTACATGCCCTTGACCGGAATCGAACCTGGGACCTTTCAGTCCGCAGACCGACCCTCTACCGCTGAGCCAAACCGGTTTCGCGAATAATATAATTTCTAAACTACCTTCCAGATGTGCCAGGAGTGCCTTCACTGGCGGGCTTTCACCTGGAGATTCGGCTCCCGGTCCCTGACACAGCGGAGCACACAGAGGAACGGGAAGGCTGCTCAGTGGCCCACAGGGAACCCAGAGGAAAGGTTGGATGCGGTACTCGAGCGCACACTCGCTAGCTATCCTGAAGACACCATGCAAGCCCCTGCGGCAGCACTTCCAGGGAGAGTCTAAACTTTGACCCTACAAACCTTCAGAACCCTATCTTTGGCTTTCTACGTTCCTATCTGATTATATCAACAGAATCCATGAGTAGAACAGGGTGACTGAGGGAGGGAGTCGGGGGGAGTACTCCCCTGTCTGCTGCCTTCAGGCTCTGGGCAGCCATCTCAAGCAGCAGCACATGGTCCACCCCGTCCACCAACTGCTCAGTAGACTCTCAGGAGTCTCACACCTCCACATGTTGTTATATCCTGTACAACAGTCCTCATTCCCATGCTGGAAGCACGCAGGTCATGAGTACCCGTACCAGCAAACAGGCTGCTCCCGCCAGACACCGCTGAGCCCTGTTTTGGAGGAGCCCTCAAAATCTCAGGACCAAGAAAGTGATGAACAAATCCAAACGCACAAGATAAGGAAAGTATACTGTCTTTATTGTCTTAAAATTGCATAGTTCTTTGATTGTGCACACTTTTAAATAGGGGACAAGGGAACCCACTTGAAAACTACTTTCTTGCAGGGGGTATTTCAAGCTTTTTTACTACGGCAAGAGCAGGGACCAAAATGCTGCTTGGGCTTAAAAAGAACCACGATCAGATGAAAAAGAAGTTGTCAAGTTAGAGGAATTTAGACAAGAGGGAACCATTGAAGGAAGCTGCGATTCCATCCGACAGGACTGGCAGGAGGCAAGGGAAGCTGCGGGAGTTTCCCTGACATGGAGCCTGGATTCAGGAACAGCCGAGCGAGGAAGAGGAAGGAGTCAAGAGGCAGTGCCTTGTGCTCAAATCTGAGATGAATGCCCGACAGGGGACTGGGTGCACTGGGTAGGTAGCCAGGGGCAGTCTGGGCATGACCCCGGCTACAGAAAGCTACATACTAGAAAAATAACTTAAAGCTATACATTCTTCATTATAAATATTTTGTCTTTTAAACTAACTAGTGCTGGTTAAAAAAGGTTCACAGTTACTCGGAGAGAGCTGTATATTGCACGGCGGTGGAAACGTTCGCTCTGATTCCCATGTGTAAGGTGACCAGACGTCCTGCTTTTGGCGGGACAGTCCTGATTTTTAACAATTTGTCCCAGGACTTTTTCAAAACACCGTGGGACACGAGACAAATTGTTAAAAATCGGGACTGTCCCGCCAAAAGCGGGACATCTGGTCACCTTACCTATGTGTAAACAATGAGTCCCTTCTCCTCCGGTGACCTCAGGACTCGGAGAAACAGGATCTGCTGGAAGCAAAGCACTTAGGTACAAGGCACGTGGAGGCTGTCAAGCTCGCTGGAATGGAGGAGATGGAGGTGGCGTCGCTGGGTCTTGAACCAGATCAGACGTGGTGATGGTCGCCTCGCCTTCTTCTCACTCCACAGTTACAGACTTGGCCAGATTTCTAGGGAAGTCAACCTACAGGGACAGAAAGCAGGCACTCAGGATCCTGCAGACCTCAGCAGTGTGCTGTATTGTAAAACCTCAGACCAGAGAACCTGGAAAGGAGACTGTGTTCCTGGTCAGAGCTCCCATGATGCTTGCATCCTGGAAGTGGTTGCTCCAGAAACTTCAGCTGTATGCTGTTTAGTTGACTCAACAAACACTTACAGGGCACCTGCTATGTTTCAAGCGATGGCACCAGTAAGAGGACACGATCCAACGCTATTAAAGTCAGCCCAAATTGTATTGTGAAATACTTTTCTCGAGAGGATCCGCACTACACCCATGAGACTTGTTAGTACAGGCTGGGGGTTGGGAAGGAAATGTGACAGGCTGGCGGATAAAGGAGCTTCACCTTTATTTGCGATGTTTTATTTTGTTTATAATAATGTTTTGTTTTTTTAAAGAAATATGACAAAATATTAGCATATGTCACTTCTGAATGACACCATCAGGTGTTTCTTAATGTGTATTTCATGTTTTGTATTTTTTAAAGCTTCTCAAGATAAATTATAATCAAACTTCTATTTCTTTGCACAAAAAATTGTGTTCTAACACTTGCTGGTGAGATCATAAATTGGTTCTTTCTGGAACATAAGAAGACAATTGATGTTAAAGGTCCCAAAATGTTAACTCATATGCTAGGCTGAGGACAAGTCTTAAATGTGGGGTGAAATTGTGTATACAAAGATGTTCACGGCAAGTGTCATTTATGCAAATGTTCTGAAAAATTAGAAACACTTCAAATAATAGAAGATTGGCTTAGTAATTGTTAAAACCCATGTTATAAGATTGTGGTGGAATATTATGCAGTGATTAAATGTTGCTTGCAACAAGTTCAAAATGTAAGAAAATACAATATATCAAAAGGAAAATAAAAATTTCACCTTTGATATAATCTTGGAAAATGTTTAAAAAACAAAAAACAAAACTCACATGCACAGGAAAACTGGAATGATACTGAATTTGCTTTAGCATTGACTGATGATGAGCTTATTGTTTAACGATATGGTCTTTACACATCTTGCAGTTCCCAAGCTTCTTTTCAGGGATACTTTAAAAATAGTTATTTGAAAAACGAATGTATTTGTCCTATCAATATTTATACTTGATTAAGACGAACTGGAACTTTAAGAAAATGTATCAATTGCGAGGGTCTGTGGGAGGAGCTACGGCTTATGGCAGTTTTGCACTCTTATGTAATCATGAGAACCCTACAGGGGGAACTCTGTGCTAATAAAATGATGGTTCTAGCTTCCCTTTCCCTTAATTTCTGTTTCCCTTTACACAAACACTCATCCATCATGGCGCACAGCCTAGACTGCCATGCCTGCATGCACCGAGGGGCAACCATTCCTTCCTCCCCAAGTAAGTCCTTCTTGGTGATGTAACACCTAGTCGATATTATTGTTTTAGTAGACATGCCAAATAAGTATTTAAAAACAAAAGGGAATTCTGGGGTTCCATCCTGCCCTTGCTGGGTTAGGCAGCTCCCAGACGTACGTCATATCCTCGGAGAACGGCCAGGTGGAAGGACAGGAGCTGCAGGGGGATCACGCTGAGGATGCCCTGCAGGCAGTCCACTGTGGGGGGCAGCTCGATCATCTTATACGCAAACTTGGAACTCTCGGTGTCATCCTTGGAGCACAGGATAATCGGGCGACCCTGAGGCAGAGAGAGGTGGTCACAAATGCAGCTCGTCCCTGAAAGAAGCATCCCTCGCATTACTGTTTCTGAGATCCACATTATTGCAATGAAGACAGTCACCCTTGGTGTTTGCTGGAATTCTGGGTGAGTGCTATGTATGATTCCTGTAAAGGACCAAGTGTTTCTGATGCTTTTTGGTGCGTTTCTTTCCCCTCCCTGGCCCGGTGATGGTCCTCCTGCTTCACCCAGCGCCCATTTCTGTGACTTTCACGCGCCTTGCGAAGGGCAGATCACGTCCACTCCTTGCTCTAACGGGGCTCACGGGGAGCGATGGGAACCAAAAGCAGACAAGAAGCCAGGAAGTAACACTGAACTTCAGGAGGCTGCCGCAAAGGCGATAAAATAGGGGGTGTGCTTGGGGGAGGCTGAAGTCTGGGATGGCCTCTAACAGGGGACATTGGGTTGAGACCTGGATGACGAGAGCCAGCTGACGGTGTGTGGGAAGAACATGTGGGGCAGAGGGAACTGCCAACGCCAAGGCTGAGGCAGGAAGGAGCTGGAATGAGTGGGAAACAAAGGGAAGAAGCTGGGTAATGCAGGTTCGTGGCCACGCTAGCTTTTGGAAGCCACTGGAAGGTTTTAAGCAACAAGGCATAGCGATGGTGTTCTAGAGCTTCTGACCACCACGCTGAGCCAGGAGTGGCAGCAGCTGGCTCAGTGCCCTGCCGGATTTCACCTCCTGTAAATCCCTAGGCTTCCAGGATGGATGTGTAGAGGTTCCACCCTCCCACTCTGTCTTATTCTTTTTTTTTTTTTTTTTTTTTTTTTTTTTTTTTAATATATTTTATTGACTTTATACAGAGAGGAAGGGAGAGAGATAGAGAGTTAGAAACATCGATGAGAGAGAGTCATCGATCAGCTGCCTCTTGCACACCCCCTACTGGGGATATGCCTGCAACCAAGGTACATGCCCTTGACTGGAATCGAACCCGGGACCCTTCAGTCCCTAAGCCGACGCTCTATCCATTGAGCCAAACCAGTCCCGGCCACCCTCCCACTCTGGACAGCTGCGGTCTAACAGACTTCGCTGACCTGTCCCTGGCTCCTGGGAGGGGACCTCTACCCTCTTGGGCTTTCCTGAGTGAGAGAAGTGTTGGTTTTCACCATGGTGCGTTGACTCTGACTTTATGCTAATGAGGTGACACATGATGGGTCCAAGGATAGCTTCAGGATGGGGGATGACCGTGCCAGGAAGACAGACCATGTAGTTAGAGAATTGGGGCTTTGAGCCAAGTGATACCAGTCTGAGCTCCTGACCTCCAGGAACAGAAGAGATGCTGGAAATTGAGTTCAATCACGTGCCAATGATGCAATCTATGTGTCTACGTAATGAAACCCCAATAAAAACTCCGGGCCCTGGAGCAGCAGCTCAGGCTCCCGGGCTGCAGTGCACCCTGCTGTGCGGGAGGGGAAGCGCCCTGAGGATGTGCGAGCTTTGTGTTTTGGGCCCTTGCCCCAGTCTCTGCCTTTGCTGGCCCTGGTTCGTATCCTGCACAATAAAACTAAATAGTATATAATGTTTTCCTGAGTTCTGTGAGTCATTCGGGGGAATTACTGAACTGAGCGGCTACCAGGAAATCCTGAAGTGGGGGTAATCTGAGAACCCCTGAACTTGCAGTGCCCTCCAGCTGTGAAATAGGACCTAACGGCAGGTGGGCAGTGCCAGGGCTGCCCTCAGCACTCCCCGCCAGGAGTACCCCCTCTGGTCTCCGGGCCTGGGACCAGCACAGCTGCGGGCGCTCTGGGTCACTGGCCCTCACTAAGGAGCTGTTAAAGGCATGGCCGAAAGCTGGCCAGTCCCTTTCTGAATGTGTGTGCCACTCATGAGGGGACTGAGGAGACTCTGTGGTCACCCCTGCTCACTGGCAGGACCCAGCACAGCTGCTGCAGTAGGTCTGGGAGAGGAGCAGCCAGGTGGCCCAGCCCCACGGAGAGTCCTCACCTGGCGGGCCGTGATCTGCTGCAGGGCGTTCTGGCATTTGGCAAAACAAGGGTCCTTCATGATGACCATGATGATGGGCATCTGCTTGTCGATCAGAGCCAGGGGCCCGTGCTTCAGCTCCCCGGCCAGGATGCCTTCTGAGTGCATGTAGGTTATCTCTTTGATTTTCTGGGGAGAAGGAGGTGGGATCAGTCACACTAGGCAGACACGGGGCTAGAACACATCAACCAGAGGGAGAATCAGCTGGGAGGCAAGGAGTTGAGGCCACAAGGCAGATGGACACACGGAGCAGTCAACAGCACAGAGGGCAACGGCAAGGCCAGGTCCGAAGGAGATGGCGGCAGCTATCCAGAGCAAATACAAAGCCCAGCACGCAGCTGTGTTCCCGACCAGCCCCTGGACAGTCAGCCCCCTGGGATGGACAAGTCAGTGTCAATCTAGCTCTCCCCAGGCCCCAGGCCCTCCCACAGTGAGGGTTTATAATGATGGATTTGGATTCTGTCTAGATACGCCTCCATTCAATTATCTGTTTAATCATTTCCCCAGTCCTAGACCATTAATAAACTGCAAAGGGTTGCTCCATCAAGCAGCATCACACACAATGGGGCTGTCACTGGAATCTGCCTGTGTTTGGGAAGACCCATGCTATCCCGTTACACTAACGCCCTGTCATTGGACCAGTGAGCGTGATCAATTTCTATCTCACCCACACATTTGGGTCGGGAAATGCTGTAGGAAGACTGGCTCCATCCTGAATGCCATGGACATCTGCGTGCCGGCTCCCACGAGGTCAGAGGGGTCATTGGCTGGGGCCAGCAGCAGCATGAAAGCTCCCTTCCCCTCAGACACTAAGCTGAGGTGCAGCTGAATACACACCGCTCACCAGCACACTCAGCCTGCAGCCGAGCTCCGAGACGGCAGAGGCGTGGCGGCAGACTGAAGGCACCCCTCCCAGGCCTTGCTGTCCTGTGCCGAGAGCAGCGTGCCTCCCTGCCTTTGGAAGGGCTGGAGCCTCCAGGGGCAGGTGTGGAGGTTGGAGCACACTGCCATCAGGCTCCTTATAGCTCGCGCCCAGCCCCACCCACACCCCCACTATTCTGTGAATGTTTCTGTGAACGTCCTGGGAATTGCATTGTCTATAAGATGGGGGGAGAGGTGGTAGGAAAGAAGCAGCCACTTGCTCCCCTAGGAAGAGGGCAGCCAGCTGGTCTTGCATGAGGCCCTTGTCTGGGTACCAAGTGCTGCCGTAGCTGTGACAGATTGATTGACACTTGATTGACACTGACTTGTCCCGTTTACCTCAGTTGAACATAAACAGCAGCAGACAGTGAGTCAAGGGCGAGCTCTGGGCCCAGGTCCTTGGGCAAGAATGCCCACCCTCTCCACAGCCCCGTGTCCATGTCCTGCACCTCGCCCCTCCCCACCAGCTCTCTCCCACCAGCCAGTATGCTCTTTACTGGTTTAAACAGTGCAGGGCCTGCCTGGCTTATTCCTGCAAGATCTGCAGTTCCTCTTGAAAGTTAGAGGGGCAACAGGGAAATTCTGCAGAGGCCCCCCCCTGCGGTTCTGATCTGCCCACACCCTCCCATGCAGACTGCTTGTAGTAGGGAGAGAAAAGCAAAGTCGATGTGGACCTGGGTTCGAATCTCAGGCTGATCACTTCTGCTGTGTGACTCTCGGCAAGATGAATTTTTTGGAGACTGTCTCCTCTCAGAAGACGCTGGTGAGGTATAAATGGGCTAATCTAGATGAGGCCCAGCCCAGGCTGACAGCTCTGGGGCTCACCAGGGGTGTCCTACACGTTTATCCTGGGAGAATAAAGAGTGGGAGCCCCTATCTCTATATCCCCAGCGCTAGAACACGTGGCAGTGGGCAGGTGCTCAATGCAGCCTCACACGTGGACAGCAGGCCTCAGCGGCCCCTATCCTTGCTCAGTGCCCTGTCCTCCTTCTTGCTGGTGTCTCTGGGGGGTGGTGCCCTCTGCAGGGGTGGTGGTGTCAGGTTGGGCCGAGGGTGCTCACCAGGGCTCCTTCCAGGCACGTGGCGTAGTTGTAGCCCCGCCCCATGACCAGGAGCGACCTCTGCGTGTAGAGCTCCAGGGCCAGGTCGTGGATCTTCTGGTCCAGCGACAACACTTCCTTGATCAGCTCTGTCACGCGCAGCAGAGGGAGAGCCCGTTACACACGCACACAGCAGAGGGAGAGCCCGTTACACACGCACACAGCAGAGGGAGGCGGGAAGAAAGCACCAAGAGCAGCCCCGGACTTGAAGGGAAGGGAAGCCCATTTGGGACACACCAGGCAGCGACTGCAGGCCACGGATGATCTCGCGCCGGCGATCTTGCAGTGAAATGCGGTCTTCCGACATCATCAGGCCAAACATCACCAGGGAGATGAACTGGCTGGTGTAAGCCTGAGGACAGACGGCAGTGCTGACCGAGGGGGCGAATGAGCGGGAGGCAGCCACGTGAGGGGGCAGATCACCGGGCCCTTCTCAGCCCCCGTCTGCCCGCAGCCGAGCCGAGGCCTCCCGCAGGCCAGGCGGCTCCTTTACCTTGGTGCTGGCCACGCCGACCTCCGGGCCCGCGTTGATGTGCACACCGCAGTCGGTCTCTCGAGAGATGGAGCTGCCCACGGTGTTGGTGATGCCCACGGTCAGGGCCCCGCGGTCCTTGCAGTAACGCAGTGCCAGGAGGGTGTCCGCCGTCTCGCCTGCCACACAGACCCTCCTCTCAGCTGTGTTCACAGGCGCAAGGCTCTACCCCCACCCGTTCCCTCCCCGCTCTGACACAGTCAGTGCCCAGACACAGCCCGCTTGCGCCCAGAAAGGAAATGCATGCTCCACAGTTTTGCTGGTTGGTTCTTAGATCCGAGCTTCCACTGCTCTTTATGTGGCAAGCGCTCTCTCCCCGCTTCCCACCGCCTCTCCTGGTGGTGCTGTGAGGGCCCTGTCCTCGCTCTCCCCTGGAGGATCAGCAGAGAACATCAATGCCTGCTCGCTCAAGGCCACGAGACAGCACCACCGGGGTGGGCCTGGGCCCCATGCCCTTTCTATAGCTCGGAGCTGTCTTGTTCAGAATGTGCCCAGATTTGACATTTAAAAAAGCAAGCATGCCCCCAAACAGCATGTCTCAAATAAACCTTGTTATTAAAAAAAAGCACTTCTTGCAGCCTTGCAGTGTGGACAAAAATTATTTTTACACTAAAACTACTTAAATAGGTTCACACATAAGCCAGCACCAACTCCCTAAGCTTGCAAATCCTAAAGAAGTCAAAGTAAATTCAGCACGAGCCAGGCCATACAACCCAACGCATCCGATGTCCACACAGCCGCTGCTCTCGGCCGTGCCCCTCCCAGCTCTCCCGCAGTGCAGGCTGGTCCGACCCTTCTCTCCCTTTCCCCTCCACCTCGCATCCAGCACTCTGGGTGTCACCTGCCCTTCCCCAGTGCCAACTGGGCTCGGGGCTTGGAGGGGAGAGCAGGATGCCTCCAGCCTCACTAGCCCTGCCCCCCCGTTTCTGGTGTAGCATGTTTCAACTCAATGGAAAAGGCTAAACAAAAGGGACCTTTAAAACCCTTCAGTGAGGATAGTCAGGAGCTGCCCCTCCGCTCTTTTCACACTAAACCCACTTCTGTTCTTTGGTGCGTGGCTCCCACCAACTCATGAAACATGTTTAGATTTTGATGGAGCCATTAGCTAGCAATGTTGGCAGCTGACGTCACATGGCAGGACCCGGGTACGCGGTGCTCAGCTGGATGTGGATGTGAGTGTTTGTCATTGAAACAGGAGTAGGATTAAGATTCCAAAATGGGCCTAACCGGTTTGGCTCAGTGGATAGAGTGTCGGTCTGAGGACTGAAGGGTCCCAGATTAGATTGCGGTCAAGGGCATGTACCTTGGTTGCGGGCACATCCCCTGTTAGGAGGTGTGCAGGAGGCAGCTGATGGATGTTTCTCTCTCATTGATGTTTCTAACTCTATCCCCCGCTGGTGGTGTGGCCACTGCCCAGCAACCACACAGCCTTTGAACCGGCAGAATTTTGAAGAACTTTCTCAATTATGAGACTGACGTGCTACCTACTGCGCTAACAAGGCACCTAGAACTTTCTCAACTAAACCAGCGCACATTTATGGTGCCCTGATGGGTGGTCCCATAAGCCTTGGACTTGAAATGCCAGGAGGAGGAAGAAGCCCTGCTGCCGGGTCCTCCCATAAAATGGGACGGTCACCGAAGGTGCTGAGGGTGCAATGACAGGTGCATGTGGCTGGAGTATGAGAACTTCGGTGGGTCATGAGGGGACAGAGCCGAGGCGAGCTAACAGCCGGGACCCCTTACCTGACTGGCTTATGAAGAAGCAAACATCATCCCTGAACACGGGCGTGTTCCTGTCCAGAAAGTCGCTAGCAAGTTCAACCATCACGGGGAGTTCGGTAAGTTCCTCCAAAACTTGCCGAGTCTGAAGCCAACGACAATGGGGACTCAAGTCAGTCATGACACCGCAGGGACACCGGCAGCTGGGCTCCTAAAGGAACTTGTGACCCGGAGCCTTCGTATCTGGTGGGGAGGGACCCTCAGGCACCCAGGACGGAACCGCAGGAGAAAGGACGGTGCCCGCGCTCACACTGGCTCACAGGAGCCAAATCCCGATGGCCGGACGCCTGCAGCATGTAGGATGCCTCTAGTCCTAGGCCGCCACTACCTCCCTGGCCGTGGAGGCCACGCACAGCACTTACAGCCACAGCGGCGTGGTAGCTGGTTCCACAGCCAATCACGATGAGTCGTCGGCACCGTCGGATCTCCTTCAAGTGGGCCTTCAGGCCGCCCAGGAGCACTGCGGGGCACACGGGTGTCAGCCTGAGCCCTCGCAGGTCGGTGCAGGGCTGGGGCGAGGTCCAGGGATGGATTACCTGTGCTGGTCTCAAAGTTCACGCGCCCCCTCATAGTGTTGAAAACGGACTCCGGCTGTTCGAAGATCTCCTTCTGCATGAACGCACTGAAGTTACCTGCTCGGTGAACAGCAACAAGACAGGTCCCTTTCGTTTAGTTTTATGTCCAGACTTAACTTGTCCTCAAGACCAGGCTGTTCTGCAGTTAGTCAGCATGACCCAGGTAAAGACCCTGCAGGCTGGTCACAGGTGCTGTTCGCGATGCTCATGGCAGGTGAGAGGGAAGCAGGACTCGGACCTCCGGTTACACACCGGCCCTCTCACAGGGGCGGGCAGGGATGAGAGGAACCAACTGGGGCTGGTCTTATGGGGTCACACTCCCCTTTGCGAGGCCAGAAGGAAGTAAAAGCTCACCTCCCTAGGAAGTACAAATTAGCCAGGCCCAAAGAAACAGACCACTTTCTTTTAAACACATGCCTCCTAGCTTCCGGGTTAAAGAAAAACCTTTCCAGTCACACATGCATTTGCAGGGCCCGATCTGAATGGGGCTGGACGAGGTCAGAGTGACCATGTGGCTGTGGCACGTTGGGCCCGCTGGCTGCAGGTGAATAGACAGGGTGGGGTGTTCTCGGGGATGCAGACATGCCATTGCAGTGTCCCCGCCTGCCACCTTCAGCAGAGACCTGTTCCGAAAGCCACGAAGCAAGTAAGACAGGAAGGAGCATGGGCCACTGCAGACACGGAGTCGGGGGCTCTTGGAGGATCATTTCCGGGGCATGATCTAAAGAACTCCCCTGTGAGAGGAGCAGTAAGTGCAGTTGCGTGCCCACAGTGGGCAAGCCCAGGGCCTGTCTGAGTAACAGGCGGCACGGGGGGCAGGGCATCGTGGGACAGGCTAGGGTGAGGTGCGGCCAGGCTGCATGTGTGTGAGGGGGTACACTTTATTTTCAGAGCAGTAGGAAGCCACGGAGGGTGTTAAGCAGCAGGACAAAGTGCTGATGTTCTTAAGTTTACCCAGGCTGCCCTGTGGAGCAGAGGGTGCGGGGAGGCAGACATGGGTGAGGGAGGCAGTGTGGGTGGGGGGGCAGTGTGGGGGGGGAGGCGGTGTGGGTGGGGGGGCAGTGTGGGTGGGGGGGCGGTGTGGGTGGGGGGGCGGTGTGGGTGGGGGAGGCAGTGTGGGTGGGGGGGGCGGTGCGGGTGGGGGGGCGGTGCGGGTGGGGGGGCGGTGCGGGTGGGGGGGGCGGTGCGGGTGGGGGGGCGGTGCGGGTGGGGGGGCGGTGCGGGTGGGGGGGCGGTGCGGGTGGGGGGGGCAGTGTGGGTGGGGGGGCAGTGTGGGTGGGGGGGCAGTGTGGGTGGGGGGGCGGTGTGGGTGGGGGGGCGGTGCGGGTGGGGGGGCGGTGCGGGTGGGGGGGCGGTGTGGGTGGGGGGGGCGGTGTGGGTGGGGGGGCAGTGTGGGTGCGGGGGCAGTGTGGGTGGGGGGGGCAGTGTGGGTGGGGGGGCAGTGTGGGTGGGGGGGCGGTGTGGGTGGGGGAGGCGGTGTGGGTGGGGGAGGCGGTGCGGGTGGGGGAGGCGGTGTGGGTGGGGGAGGCGGTGTGGGTGGGGGAGGCAGTGTGGGTGGGGGAGGCAGTCTGGGTGGGGGACAGTGTGGGTGGGGGAGGCAGTGTGGGTGGGGGAGGCAGTGTGGGTGGGGGAGGCGGTGCGGGTGGGGGAGGCGGTGTGGGTGGGGGGGCAGTGTGGGTGGGGGGGCAGTGTGGGTGGGGGGGCAGTGTGGGTGGGGGGGCGGTGTGGGTGGGGGAGGCGGACGCGGGTGGGGGGGCAGTGTGGGTGGGGGGGCAGTGTGGGTGGGGGAGGCAGTGTGGGTGGGGGGGCAGTGTGGGTGCGGGGGCAGTGTGGGTGGGGGGGCGGTGTGGGTGGGGGAGGCGGTGTGGGTGGGGGGGCGGTGTGGGTGGGGGGGCAGTGTGGGTGGGGAGGCGGTGTGGGTGGGGGAGGCAGTGTGGGTGGGGGAGGCAGTCTGGGTGGGGGACAGTGTGGGTGGGGGAGGCAGTGTGGGTGTGTGGGTGGGGGGGGCAGTGTGGGTGGGGGGGCAGTGTGGGTGGGGGGGCAGTGTGGGTGGGGGGGCGGTGTGGGTGGGGGGGCAGTGTGGGTGGGGGGCGGTGTGGGTGGGGGGGCGGTGTGGGTGGGGGAGGCGGTGTGGGTGGGGGGGCGGTGTGGGTGGGGGGGCAGTGTGGGTGGGGAGGCGGTGTGGGTGGGGGAGGCAGTGTGGGTGGGGGAGGCAGTCTGGGTGGGGGACAGTGTGGGTGGGGGAGGCAGTGTGGGTGGGGGGGGCAGTGTGGGTGGGGGGGCAGTGTGGGTGGGGGGGCGGTGTGGGTGGGGGGGCGGTGTGGGTGGGGGGGCAGTGTGGGTGGGGGAGGCAGTGTGGGTGGGGGGGGCAGTGTGGGTGGGGGGGCAGTGTGGGTGGGGGGGCAGTGTGGGTGGGGGGGGCGGTGTGGGTGGGGGGGGCAGTGTGGGTGGGGGGGCGGTGTGGGTGGGGGAGGCGGTGTGGGTGGGGGGGGCAGTGTGGGTGGGGGGGCGGTGTGGGTGGGGGGGCAGTGTGGGTGGGGGAGGCAGTGTGGGTGGGGGGGCGGTGTGGGTGGGGGGGCAGTGTGGGTGCGGGGGCAGTGTGGGTGGGGGGGCGGTGTGGGTGGGGGAGGCGGTGTGGGTGGGGGGGCGGTGTGGGTGGGGGGGCGGTGTGGGTGGGGAGGCGGTGTGGGTGGGGGAGGCAGTGTGGGTGGGGGAGGCAGTCTGGGTGGGGGACAGTGTGGGTGGGGGAGGCAGTGTGGGTGGGGGGGGCAGTGTGGGTGGGGGGGCAGTGTGGGTGGGGGGGCGGTGTGGGTGGGGGGGCAGTGTGGGTGGGGAGGCGGTGTGGGTGGGGAGGCGGTGTGGGTGGGGAGGCGGTGTGGGTGGGGGGACAGTGTGGGTGGGGGAGGCAGTGTGGGTGGGGGGGGCAGTGTGGGTGGGGGGGCAGTGTGGGTGGGGGGGCAGTGTGGGTGGGGGGGGCGGTGTGGGTGGGGGGGGCAGTGTGGGTGGGGGGGCGGTGTGGGTGGGGGAGGCGGTGTGGGTGGGGGGGGCAGTGTGGGTGGGGGGGCGGTGTGGGTGGGGGGGCAGTGTGGGTGGGGGAGGCAGTGTGGGTGGGGGGGCGGTGTGGGTGGGGGGGGCGGACATGGGTGGGGGAGGCGGTGCGGGTGGGGGGGCGGTGCGGGTGGGGGGGCGGTGTGGGTGGGGGGCGGTGCGGGTGGGGGGGCGGTGCGGGTGGGGGGGCGGTGCGGGTGGGGGGGCGGTGCGGGTGGGGGGGCGGTGCGGGTGGGGGGGCGGTGTGGGTGGGGGGGCGGTGTGGGTGGGGGAGGCGGTGTGGGTGGGGGGCAGTGTGGGTGGGGGAGGCAGTCTGGGTGGGGGACAGTGTGGGTGGGGGACAGTGTGGGTGGGGGGGCAGTGTGGGTGGGGGGGGCAGTGTGGGTGGGGGGGCGGTGTGGGTGGGGGGGCGGTGTGGGTGGGGGGGCAGTGTGGGTGGGGGGCAGTGTGGGTGGGGGGGCAGTGTGGGTGGGGAGGCAGTGTGGGTGCGGGGGGCGGTGTGGGTGGGGGGGCAGTGTGGGTGCGGGGGGCAGGGGCGGGTGGGGGAGGCCGGCGTGGGTGCAGGAAGAGAGGCTGTCCTCGAAAGGAGAAAGGGGTGCACAGTTTCCTCGTCCCCGCAGGTCTGCGCAGAGCAGCAATGAGCCGGGGCACAGAGGTGTCAGAGGCAGTGGAGGGAGGCAGCAGATGGTCAGTCAGACTGAGCGGGGGACCTGGCGCTGGGTATACCCAGAGGCCCCGGCAGGCCCGGGGCAGGCTCCTCACACCTTGCGATCACCTGAGCCCCTTCGGAGGCCCCGCGGTGGCGCCCACGGGCCAGCGCAGGGCTCAGGCGCGCCCCCGGGGAGCACCTGCCCCGAGGCTGCAGCCCGCCTCTCCGAGGACACCTGCCTTTCATGATCTGCTGCAGCTCCATCTGCAGCGTCTGGATGGCTCGCGACGGGCCGTCACTGGCCGCGCGCTTGACCCGGTGAATGGAGAGCTTCCCGTCGGCGGCGGCGGCGATGTCATCGTCCTCCAGGAAGATGACGCGGTTGGTGTGCTCTATGATGGCGCTGGGGAGGGCAGACGCGCGTCACAGGGGGCGATGCTCGCGGCCAGCATGCCGCCCCCCGGAGTCCAATCGGCTCTGATGGCACTCCAGGAGGGAGGGGCATCGCACAGTGGCTTGTGGCCCAGGAAGGCCACCCTGACTGAAACGGGACAGCAGCCTGCCCTGCTGGCTGGGGGAACAGCTCATGGGGGGAGAACAGAAACGGCGGTGCAGCCTGCCACGCTGGTTACGCCGCCCCAGGAAGGGACGACGGGGCTCGGCTACCTGGCGTCGGAGGCGAAGAAGAACTCCACGGCCTTGTTGCCCACGGCGTGCAGGCAGGTGGAGCTGTCCAGCCTCTGCACCCTCGGTTTGCGTATGTTATTCACGTTCTCGATGTTGCCTGTGGATGCAGAGAGGACCGCACGCCCCGTAAACTCTTTGGTTTGAATACCACGAGCACAGGGCCCGTTTCCACTTGAATACGAGTGGGAGAAATGTGCAATTTTTAGCTTCGGCTGCGTCAGCCAAATAGCGTGAGAGATCCCCAAATAGCAAGAGCATTTAAGCTGCCGCAGAGAGCTCCCCAAGCCGCCGCTGGAACCCGGACAGCTGCCTGCGTGAACCAGAGCAGCACGCCAGCCCCTGGGCGCGGGGAGAATGGTGTGAAGTGTCCAGAGTCAAAACGCTCTTGGAAAAATGGAGCCGAGGCTCAGTTGCCTGAGAACCTTCTGGATCTGGTGCCACGCGAGGGCCGCCTGGACGTGGCGAGGGCACCGTGCCTCCGGGGCAGGGCCCCGGCTGCAGCAGCACTGTCTGTCCTCCTGGAGGGACTTACGTGTCGTGTACAGGACGGGGACCTGTTCGGTGGAGAGCTTGTGCTCGCTCCGCACGCCGATGAGCAGGGGGCTGCCTCTCCTGCAGGGATGAGGCGGTCGGGTTAGCCGTCACCTTGACACCTGGATGGGGCTGGCTGTCCTCTGAGCACTGAGGACAGCCCCACAGCTCGCCTGTCCAGGTGGCAAAGGGCCCCCACGGTGGATGCCGGGCCACGGGAAGATGCTCCTAGGCTTACTGCAGGCCCAGCAGGCCAGGGGAGAATCCCAGCTCGCCGCTGGGGTGCCAACCCCCTGCCCAGGAGACCCCATACGGTGCCGGCGTCCGAAGCCAAGTCCCTTGTAGGTCCCGACAGCAGCAGGCTGGGGGGTCTCCACCTGCCTCTGCTCCCGCCCATCTCTAAAGAGGGAGCCGGCTCTGCACACACACTCTCTGCCCCTCCCGCCTCGCTGAGGCGTCCTCCGGCCTCGGGAGCATCCGGCTGGCTCTGGGGCCGCTCAGCCGTGGGGGCCGCTTACAGTGCCTTCTAGGGCAGTTTGTTCCTGCCTAAGGGACAGCTTGGCGAAGTTTGGAATCTCCAACTTGCACAAGGGGACTCCTCTCCCAAAGGTGATGGGCAATTCCTGCAGCTGCACTGAGTGAGGGCCCCCAACTCAAGGCCCCTGTCCCCCCGCCCAGCTCAGCCCCTGGCACAGCAGGCAGTCTTCAGCAAGTGCTTTAGCTCTTGGCTCACAACTTCTACAGACCATGTGTTTACAAGCACTGTTCCATGAACTGAATGGCATCCTGCCTCCAAAACCCAACTGTTTGCTTGTTCTTATAAATTACAGCATGCAAATCGAATTCCCAACAGGTGTGCTGGGTAACACGCAGTTCACTTCTGAACTCAGGAACCCCAGGCCTTCCAAAAACACATGCCCTTCCTCCCGGCATGCTAGCTGGCTAATAGGAAGGAAACACTGGGGATGTATTAACAAGGCAATTAAAGAGCACTGTCTTGAACACATTAATTAGAAGACAATGGGGTAATATTTTACATCAACCAGTTTCTTGTTAACTTAGATCAATGAACTCATAAATGACTAAGTCCACCTGAGTCCGCCCCACATATATCCACTTGGCCTGCTATCCTGATGCAATGCAGGCCCTAAGTATTTCTTCATTTGTAATAGATCTTATTTCCCAATACTGTTTGAACCTCACTTTGATTTCTCCAAGTAGGGAGACAAAGTTTGTCTTTGCAGAATGTGCTGTGAGTGCCTTGAATATTTTGGACCATCTTTTATCCTAATATGCAAATCAACCGAATGGCAGAATCCACCGGAGGAACATCCAGTCACTATGATGTGCACTGACCACCAGGGGGCAGACGTTCAACACAGGAATTGCCACCAGTCCACAGGCCCCAGGCCAGCCAAGGTGGGCAATTGCCCCACCAATCAGTCCTGATGGCAGGCCAAGCCTAGGGACCCTACCCGTGCGTGGATTTCATGCATCGGGCCTCTAGTTATTTATAAAGCGCATCAGCTGAATGTGCCTTTATATAATTTTGTTTGAAATTTGAATTTGTTGTCAACTTCTAAAAATATGGAGATTGCAAATAAAAATCCAACTCTGCTTTTTTCTATTAACATGGCAGAAGCTCTGGCCAAAGAGATGATGGCGTGCATTCTCTGTGTCTAAGCCACAGCTGTCCTTTGGATAGAGCAAGCGCCTTCCACTTGTCCAGAGGCCTAGGCCCTCGTGCCTCAAGCTGAGTGACTGTATTCTAGTTATTTGCTACTGCCAATAGTCACGTGTTTGCCTTACCTTGTGGCAACGGCCTCTCCCGGGTAGTGGATGCTCTTGAAAACCAACGCGAATGCTCCTTCCTGAAAGCACAGGGATGAGAAGTGAGGAACAGCTCACCCGGCTCAGCCGGCCGCTGCAGCCTGATGCCCCTGGAGGGCTCCCTGGGCCCCCCTTCCTGTGAGCAACCTGGGCACAGGCCAGCGGTGCTCACTCAGGGCTCCGGACAGGACAGCAGGGTGACATCAGGAGGAAAGTGACACAGACCAGACCTGTGACCAACAGCAGCCAACCTGCCGAGGCCCAGCTCTGCGATGAACTGGGTGAGCTGGTGAGAACCAGGGCCAGGGCTCCTGCCCCGGGAGAAGCATCTCCTAGGACTCAGGGAGCACCCCGAGGGTCCCAGGGGCTAGTGCTCCAGGACCTGTGCTTAGCTCAGCGCACACCGCCCTGCGGTGGGCAAGGTTTGCAGCCTTCTTGGTGCCACATTTTCCTCGAGGTGAACGAAAATAAGACTTTGTATGGCTTCTGGGAACCAACGCATTAGAACAGAGCCTGCCATATAGAGAGCCCAATAGAAGCATGAGTTACGATTACGCAATTATTATTTCTGTGGTGAGGATTAAGTAATAATTGGAACTAAACCAGAGCTAAAATCCAGTTATCCTTACTCAAGATTCCAAATGCTTTTTCCATTTAAGTCCTTAGTGCATAATTCTGTCTTCTACCTTCTACCCGCCTACACTAATTTGCTCTGATTCTAGTAGACGTTGTTTAGAAATAACCAGCTATAAATCTAGACTTTCATGTGAAATCCCCCAAGGTTTGCAACCCTGGGAAGACTAAGGCCCCATGCAGCCAGCGTGCTATGACCAGTTTGCTGACTCAGTCACACAACCGGGGGACCCCAGGTCAGCACAGCCTCTCCCCCTGCCTCTGAGGGCCTGTCACACCACCCCTTGGGTCAGCACGGCCCCAGGCAGACCCAAGCAGCCCGACGTGCACCCTGCAGGTTTTGTCTACAACAGAGATTTTCATCTCATGACACACGTAAACTAATTACTCCAATTCTGCAGCATACAGAATACATTTTTGCCAATCAGACCAAAATAATTAGGTATATTTTTGATCCATTCACACTGGATGGCCATTTTTGTGTTGGCTGTTGTCATTTTATTCCATTGACAGCTCCTTAAGACATTTTATTCCATTGTTGTTGTTTTTTAGAGAGAGTGGAAGGGAGGAAAAAGGAGGAGGGAGGGGGAAGGGGAAAGGAGGAAGAGAAGGGGAAAGTGAGAGGGGGAGGGATGGATAAATAGATAGGTTGTCTCCTGCATGCGGGCTGTTGGGGCTGGGGATTAAACCTGTAACCCAGGTATGTGCCCTTAACCAGGAATTGAACCTGTGACCTTTGTGCACAAGTCAATGTTCTAACCCACTGAACCATGCCAGCCAGGACAGCTGTTATCATTTTTTAAAGAATTACATACAAAAAGGAGATATATGTATTACTATTTGTAATACTTTAAACAATAACATAAAAAATTTTAAAAACAGAATTACATATAGTATCACATATGTCTCCTGTTCCCCCCATTGACCTCTCCCCAGACACCCTATCCCCCAGCACATGCCCTCGCCCGCCTAGTGCCTGTCCATTGGTTATGCTTATATGCACACATACAAGTCTCTCTGAGGTTGGACAGTCTGTTTGATGCTTCTCTGTCTCTGGGTCTATTTTTGTTTATGTTGTTCATCACAGTCCACAAATGAGTGAGATCATGTGATATTTACCTTTCTCTGACTGACTTACTTCGCTTAGCATAATGCTCTCCAGGTCCATGCTGTTACAAATGGTAAGAGTTTTTTTCTTTTTTACAGCAGCGTAGTATTCCATTGTGTAGATGTACCACAAGTTTTTAATCCACTCATCTGCTGATGAGCACTTATTCTGTCTCCAAATATTACTTATTGTAAATTGTGCTGCTATGAACATAGGGGTGCATATGTCCTTTCCGATTGGTGTTTCTGATTTCTTGGGAAAGAGCCCTAGAAGTGGGATCACTGGGTCAAATGGCAGTTTCGTTTTTAGTTTTTTGAGGAAACTCCATACTATTCTCCACAGTGGCTGCACTGTTATCATGCTTTTATTTGACAATTTAAGGAAAGAAGTCAGTGCCCCTGACTAAGCAATCAGGTATTGCATGTTTTAAAAATTCTTGCAGCTCACAAGTTGAAAATCGCTGGTCTACAACCACGTAGGACTGAATAGAATACACTTCTCATTCTCTGCCCTAAAGAGCTGTGGAGAGACGTCATTGAAAGTTAAAAGTGCCGTCACTGGGGAGGTATTTCCGAAATTTAAAATTACAAATGGCGAAGAGAGAGCACCACGCTGCAAAGCCAAATCGCCTTCCTGCCTCTTAAGACGCAGCACATTGTACTTTATGTTCCGTCCAACTCCCGTTTATCAACGTCCTCTAAATCTTAGCCCATACAGGAGTCACAGAGCAAAGGGCTCTGCGACAGACGTCCTTTTTAAAAAGACCGAAAGCACCAAAGGGTGGTGAGTTTTAAACCACGTTGTGGTAGCCAAGCAGCGCGGCCTGGCGTGTGGGGAGAGGGTGGACTCCACATTCTCGGCCCTGAGCACTGTCTGCAGGCTGCCCCGCTCAGAGGGGCTGAGCATGGCTGAGTCATCCGGAGACCTCTCCTCCTCCCCGACCATCCCCGAGGCCCGGTCTGCTCCACCTCCTCCTCCAATGAGGGGCCTCTTGGGTAATTCCCTTAGCAGGGACTCTGTCCAGTGGGTCCAGCCCTCTGGGACGTCATGAATCTCTCTCCTGGGTCACTGCCTTCAGCACAGACCTGATCTGATGTCCATCCCCAGAGCACAATCCTCCCTTGGAACCGCAACCCTCTGGCCACTGGGCCAAATCTTTGCGCCCTTCCTCTCCAATCCAACTTCCTGACAATTTGCACCAACTCTTCACTTCCCCTCCCTCCCCACTCTCCCCCCTGCCTCCCTCCAGAAGGATGCTGGGCCATTTCTCTCCTGGGACAATTCTAAGTCAACATCAATGAGATGCATCAAGGTTATGAATCTAATGGCACAAACATCTCAGACAAAAAGAGGACCATGTGAACCCCACCACCAAGGTCCTGTGTGCACCGGCAGTGGGAAGCAGCCACAGTTCCAAGGCCAGTTAGTCTGACATTAAAACAAGGCAAGGCACTTCCACTTGGTGTTCACCACTCAAACCTCAGGACTTTTCTGGATATTACAAGGATCTGATATCTCAACGCCAGATGCTGTAGGTGAGCCGACTTGAATTCTCGGGTACTTGGCATTTATTTGCTTAATGCTTATGCAAAATGAAGGGATGCTTGAGAAGGTGTGACCTGTAACTCACCAACTGCTGAATGACTCTCTCCACTAGCGTTGAAAATGAGATGTCCTCGACCTCTCGGTTGTCGAACACGTATTTGATCAGCTTGGCGATAGTCTCCGTGTCCGTCTCTGACTCAAACTCATAGCCTTTGCTTTCCTGGAATATTGGGTTGGACACAGAGGCAGGTAATGGTCATTGCGAAATGCTGGCCGGCCAGCTCCCTCTCCTCCCTATGACTTGCCCTCGGAGTGACTTAAGGAGCTGTCAGAGTGACAAGGAAAATGTGAAAGGGATGAAAAATGCTTGCCAGAATCACACAGCAAACACGGCTGAGTCATCCAGAACTCCCTGAGAACGCCCCACCTCCGAAGCTGGTCCCTGCCATGAATCTGACCGTTGCAAAATAACGGCAGTCAGAGCAATCAAATGAGTTGAGTCAAATCCACCCACGTCTCAGCCAACACCACAACCTTTAGACACTGGCCATCTGCCTTCCTGCCCCACATTCCATTTGGTGTATGAGTGCAGACACTTTTAATAAAAGGAAATCCGTGTTCTTTTGATTCTGGGACACTGCAGCAGCCCCTGTGCATGCCCAGCTATCTGCTCCAGCAAGATCTGAGGAGCCGCCGAGCTGGGCTGAGGTTTGAGTCCAATGCGTTGACGTGGCCAAGAGTGGCTCTCACTCAGCTCCTGCTTTTGTTTCCGGAGGGAAACGAGCTGGTTGGAAAGTTTCCGGGGGGAGGCCAATAGCACTGGACTTAGATGTTACCCAGAGGAAGGATCTTACCAGAAATTTCTTCAGGTCTTTGTAATTTGTGATGATCCCGTTGTGGATGACAACGAATTCTGGAAGAAAAGTTTCAGACAGAAATGCTATGAAGGCGTGAGGATCCAGTCAGACGTGCCTTAAGGGAAACGACAAGCCTGGCTCCTACAGCTGCCTGCTGAGCACATGTCATTTACCGTCAGCGCTGATATGGGCGGTGCCTACAACGCCAGCCTGAGGAAAGCGTTCCTCTCCCAGTAGAAGCATCCCCTGATCGGACCAGGGCAGAGCTCTGCCTGTCGCCTGCAGGGTCACAATTAGTGCTGCTATTTATGTCGAAGGGTTGATTAATCCTTCATTACCCAGAAACAATTCCAGGAATTCCCAACCTCTCCAACAGGTCCCGCTAGTGGTCCGCACACGGGCTTCTGTGTGACTACACCGAATTGTGAAGACACCTGAGCTGAATTTCTTTTATAAAATATATATCTTATTGATTTTTTACAGAGAGCAAGGGGGAGGGATAGAGCGTTAGAAACATCGATGAGAGAGAAACATCGACCAGCTGCCTCCTGCACACCCCCTACTGGGGATGTGCCCGCAACCAAGGCACATGCCCTTGACCGGAATCGAACCTGGGACCTTTCAGTCCGCAGGCTGACTCTCTATCCACTGAGCCAAACTGGTTTCGGCTAGCTGAAAATTTTAAGGGTTCACTTTAAAACCCTGGTTTTCTTTTAGGAAAATCCCCAGAGGTTCTGGCACCCGTACGTGGCCACCACACGTCTCCTTTGCAGGATCTGCCTGCTGTTCCCACCTCCCTCCGCCCAGCAGCAACCCGGCCGCTGGGCGGCTCCCGAGCCACTGAACTGGGGAAGGGCGGGCAGTCCCTTTGCTGTGCTGCACAGCTCAGCTAACAGCTAAGAAGGTCTAAAGCCAACTTGAAAGTTTTCCCGGGCAGGCAGGCCTCTTCCCCCCTCAGTCTAGAGAATGAAGAGGCTATCATCCTGGAGAGTCAGCAATTCCAGGAGGACGGCTACATGTGGGGCGTTTGTCTTAAGTATTGACTATTATACAGTGAACGTTTGGATCTCCAACCCAAGTTTTTTTCAGTACAGGACAGATGTTTTTCCTGCCACATCTTTTAAAAGTAGCAGGAAAATGTTTCCATTTTTACCATACTTTCTTCTCTAGATTTCTTACAACATGTTGTATCCTTTTGTGTGGTAGCACAAAAAATGAGATGGCTCGAATAAAAACAGCCATTTTCAGCCGACCCGTGTGGCTCCCGGGCTGAACCTCGACCAAGTCACAATGGATTCCAGGTCCAGGCACAGCCTGGGCTGTGAGCTTCATCTCCAGCAGGGGGTGTGCAAGAGGAAGCCAATTGATGATTCTCTTATTGTTGATGTTTCTCTCTCTCTCTCTCTGATTCTCCCATCCTCCCTCCCTCCCTCCCTCTCTCTGAAATCAATAAAACAAATTCTTAAAAAGCCATTCAGCAGGGGTGCTAGCCCAGCGCACCGGGCTTACAGCGTCGCTGCGTTTATACACCAGGGGGACTTCTGGTGCTCTCCTATGTTAGCTGCCTCATCGCCATGCCTTCTCCAATGCTTTCGTGTCTCCTGTGACATTGTTTCCTACGCTCCTTTCTTACCAGTAACTTCTCTTTCATCTCGTTCTGCTGAATTCTCAGCGTTAATTTGCTTCAGAGAATCTGTTTTCTTTGAGAAAACGCCATTGCATAATTTTCTTCCCAATGTCCTTGCTGGGTGTAAGCCTTCCTTAAAAGCGTGCTCTCCAGCTATCACAGCTGAGTTGCTGAAGAAATGTTACGAATCTTCCCTTACTTCCCAAGTTGTTTGTTTTAATGACTCATCCTGAGTCAGGGTGGGCATTGCGAGTCTGGGTGTGGGGGCGTCTCCGGGGAGCCTGCCTGCTCTGGGGCCGCAGAACCGTCACCGGCTCTGAAGCAAGGGTTCACACCTCACCGGGGGGCAGGGGACTGTGGCTGGGCATGTGTCCGGGCACAAGGGCCTGGCGCAATGTTTCCTCAGCCAGCACTGCCGCCCCAGCGACCACCCTGTGTCTGGCGTGGGTTTGGCTGGATGTGCCGTCTAGGTCCACAGTGCTATGGGGTCTGCTGTCTCCCACCCTGTCCAGGGTGCAGGGTGCAGGGTGCCTGCCGCAGTAGTGGGATGCCCTGTGGTCCGGGGCGTGGGGCAGATCCGGGGAAAAGTCCTCAGCAAAAGCCTCGCTCCCCGAGACTCTAACCACGTGGGCGCACGCGCAGCCGGCCCCTGTGCTGCCCGCTGCGCTGAGGGGCCTGGGCCCTCCTGTGCCCAGAGGCGGCCTTCCTTTCCACGTGGGGCAGGCGGCTGCTTGGGGACTGCGGTGTCCGCGGGCACAGGACAGGGAGGTGCCGCTCTCTGCAGCCCACCTTCCAGGAGGAGGCCCTGCGGTGAGGCTGGATGCTTAGCTCAGCACCTGCCAGTAACACCCCGCAGCCCCCGAAGTGTCTGAGCCTTACTCTGACGTGGGCGTGGCGGGGCCCTGCACGGGGGCCGATGTCTCGGAGGGGGTTCTGGCTGACTCCAAAGATGGTTCTCTTACTGGCACCCTCGCCCATCATGCCCAGTGTGAGTCTTCGGGGCCCCTGACCCCGAGTGGGGACCCACGTGAGGGCCCAGGTGACGTCACAGGCACTTTCCGGAGCCCTGGAGGGACCGAGGGCCATGCCTCCCCCCACCTCACATGCCCACTGTGTCCTGTTGCAGAGGACCGACACCCCGGGAGCTGACCACGGAACCCCAAACTCCCACTGGAGCCCCGGACCTCCCAGGCCACCCCACGAAAGGGGAAGGGTACGAGGCAGGATAACTGTCCTGGGGGCCAGACGAGTGATGAGGCCCCAAGAGCTGGGGCTGGCACCGGAGGCATTGGGGAGAGGGGAGAGCCCAGCCCACCAAACAGGGCCTGGTGCTGTGGGGCTGCCGTGGGCAGTGACTGTGCCCACACTCTCTGGCCTGGCCTGCTGTCTGTCCGTCCACTCTGTCCGGGGACTTTCCCACACCATTACTCTCATTCTTACCACAGCAAAGGAGCTGATGGAGGGCTCTGCTGCTGGGAGGCGCCAGCTGCCGGGGCCTCCCTGCGGGGCACCTCCAACGGAGAACCAAGGTCGCCCTGCTCCCTGCCCTTGCCCAGGACCGCTCTCTTCAGGGGCAGGGGGTTTGGGTTTGAGGAAGGAACGCTATCTTCCCCTCAGTGCCCCGCCTCCAGAACCCTTCAGCCCTTCACCCTCACCTGCCTCGTCCCCTCGGGCTGGGCTCCCAGCAGCCAGCAGTCCGCGAGGGGTCTGCCTCCTGTGGGGGCCGGGCCGGGCCGGCGCCAGCAGCTGGGGTCCCAGGGGAGACGGGCTGGCGGAGGAGCCCACGGGGTGGGTGCGAGCCGGCCTGCCAGTCGGGCCAGGCAGAACCCGGCCGGGGAGCGAGGCCTGGTACCTACCGTTGTCTTTGTCCGATCGCTGCGGGTGGCTGTTGACAGCGCTCGGGGCCCCGTGGGTGGCCCAGCGGGTGTGTGCGATGCCGAAGTGGGTTTCGAACTCCACCTCTAAGTCCATGCTGTCTTGGTCTAGACGAGAGAGAAATCCGGTTGCCACACTGGCAAAGCCAGCACGGGCACAGCAGGCTCTGCCGCGGCGGCGTCTACCGGAGACCGGCCAGCCCGCCTCGCGGGCCGGGGGGCCGCGGGGCATCGCGCCGGGTTCTGCCGGACCCCGCTGGGGGTCACCGAGTCCTTCCCAGCCTAATCCGCCCCACCTTTAAAAAGCAAGTCTGTATCACTACCACACGTGGAAAAGCAATGGCGCTTGCCAGGAAAATTAAAATAAATACTGATGTACCAAGGATTTAAAACTGCATTTCTTCACGTCCCACGCACTGAAAGCCAGCCAGAGCGTTCGGTGTCAATGCCGCTGGCATAAAAGATTTCCAAGGAGCCACGGCGGCCGGGCTCGTGTCCCCACTTACTGTAAAGTTCCTGGTCCAGAGCCTGGACTTTCCCCCGTTTCTTGACCAGCCGGATGTGCCTTTCTTTGTCTTCATCATTGTTCCCATCGATCGCCACGCCTGCGGGAACACGGTTTTCTGTGTCGGCGAAGGCTTGTCCCGCACCCAGCGTCACAGGCACCGCGCAGCGGGGCGGGGCGGGGGGCGGAGGGTGGGGGCGGGGACGAAGGGGGCTACACAATTTATTAGTTCTCGCTCCCCTGGCGCGTTTGACTTGGGAAGAGGAGGCTGTGCCTGTGGCATCACGAACAGCCTGCAGGGAGCGAGTGCCTGGACGCACCCCGCCACTGGGGGCCCGGGCACACGTAGGGCATTGGCCTTGCTGTGCGCTTGGCATCCTGCTGCTTCCAATGGAACCTCCACTCAGGGCCCCTCCGTCTCCCCCGCCTTGCCTTCTGCTCAGCACAGACAGGGATGTGAGCGGATCTGGCTCTCCCTGTCTCCCCTGGTGGCTGAGGGAAGCGTGGGGACAGAGGCAGGGTCCACCGGCCAGGCCGGGGAGGAGTGAGCTCCGAGACGCCCACCCAGTGGAGGGCTGGGCAGCTCTGAGCCCGTTAGGAGGAAGTTAGGATGACGGGAAAGGCTGACGAATGAAGAATAGGAAAGTACACAATCCTGTCGTCATGACTAGCTGGGACCACGGACGTCTATGCACTGCCCCCTCCCCCGGCCCCCACAGAGATACCAAGGGGCACTTCGCATGCAGATCTCTTTTTCCCTGTCTCCTCTTTCGACCTTTCCGGTTTCAAGTGTAACAAGCAGCGTGAGGTCTCAGACAGAAGCCTCGGGCCCACCTGCCGAGTCGTAGCCTCTGTACTCCAGCCGCTGCAGGCCCCTGACGAGGGTTTCAAAAATCTCCTTCCGGGTGCGGGGCACTCTGTAGTTCATGTAGGCAAAGATTCCTGGGGAGAGCGGACACTGCACGTTACAAACACGCCACGGTTCATGCTTAGAACACGGTCTGGCCCTAGCTGGTTGGGCTCAGAGGATAGAGCATCAGCCTGCAGACTGAAGGGTCCCGGGTTCGATTCCAGTCAAGGGCGCATGCCTAGGTTGTAGGCTGGATCCCCAGTAGGGGGCGTGCAGGAGGCAGCCAATCAATGATTCTCATCAAGGATGTTTCTCTCTCCCTCTCTCTCCCTTACTTTCTGAAATCAGTAACAAAAATATATTTTTAAAAAAGAACTCGGTCACTGAGGAGGTGTCCAGGCTGAGCAGAGGAAGAGCCACACCCCCCCGACCCCCTTGCTTCTGGCTGGAGTTGAGGCATCCCTTCCTCCTTGGCACAGATGCAGGCAGCAGAACACCCTCACGCCCCCGGCCTTGGAGAAGTTTCCCAGGGACTGAGGCGTTCACTGCAGCAACAGCCGTGACCAGCAAACCACCCGGCCAGCCACGGGCATCTGGGAGTCCCACGTGGACTCCTTGCCTGGCACAGCGGCCCCTGGGAAGTCACACGGAGTCACAGCAGCCCCGGCAGCAGGTGAGAACGGGCCCTGTGGGCTCTGCCCCACTTCCCACTCGGCTCTGCTGCCTGATCAATAAGCGTCACTCTGCAGCAGCAAGAGTGGAACGGCCTCCCGGTGCCTGGAGAATCCCGGTGCCTGAGGAAGGCCCAGAAAATCTGTTTGGCTTTATGCTCTGTACTCACATTGCAAAATGATACTTTCCTAGCTAGGGAGCAACGGCTGCCATGCTGGCTCTATCCAAACCCTGCACTCCCCTGCTCGAGACTACAGACTCGTGGTCTGTCTGTCTTGCCCTGTGAGTGCCCATCCAGTCATTCTTCCGTCCCCGCTTCCGCCCCCTCCCCCCCAGCAGCCTGGTCAGGCCCAGCGCCCCCCCACAAGCCACCTCAGAGGCCTTCCGTCCTGGGACAGCTGTCCCCTGCGGGCCTTTATATTATCACTGTCTCAGCACCGTCCTTGGTCAATAAATGTGAAATAGAGCGACCCCGAGTCTGCACTAATCAGGGAAGCGACGGCATGGATCCTGAAAGTATTCAGGCATATTCATAGCAACTCATCTTCCTGAGAGCCCACCGTGGATCGGCACTGGCCAAGCACTCGCCCACAGATGCCAATCAAAGCTCACAGCAGCCTTAGAGGTCAGGCTGCGTCACCCGGAAGCCCGGAGGCTGTGGCTGGGCAAGAGCCAGGAGCAGAGACAAGCAGACCCGACTGGGGACGTTAATGCTCCCAGCACTGAGCACCGCTGCCTCGGGGACACGTGGAGGTAAAAGGTTTATTTTCCCAATTTTAATTGTGGGAACGAAGGTGCCTACCAAGAAGCTTCTGGCGGCTCACTGGGATCAAAGTGAAAATAAATAAAGCGGAGCCTCGCAGCCATTTCCAAACGGGGGCCTCTCGTGCACGCTGCACTTCAGAGAAGCTTGCCCTGCACCCCTGCCTGCCTGCCTGCGCCGCGATCCAGAGGCCTGGAACTTCCCGCCCAGGCAGAGCTGTGCAGCTGCCTCGGTCTGCACCTTCAGCCACAGTCAGAGCAGCTCACTTCTGCCGCCAGGACAGTGCTTTCCGAGCCAACCCGCCGCCAGGCTTCCGAGTCCGCATTCACACGAGAATGAACCGATCGGGGACCAGGACGGGGACTTCTGTCCACGCCCGTCAGCTCCCCGCTGGCTCCGAGAGCCCACTTTCCCTTTCCACTGGAGACTGTTTCCCTGGCTCAGTGGTCAGCACACTCAATAGTCCGCAGAGCCAAATATCCACAGTACAACAACTGGCATTTCTTTTGAGCGCCAAAAACTTCTGCGCATGGGCCACGAAGTTTCGATCGCACTGTCCGGGGGCGCCTACACGTGGTATTTTGTGGAAGAGCCACACTCAAAGAGCCGCACATGGCTCTCGAGCCGCAGTTTGCCGACCATTGCCCTGGCTCAAGTTTTCAGTCTGGCACAGACCAGCGGGGAGCAAAGAGGCAGAGCAGAGCCGAGCTGTCTGGCCCGAGAGGGGCCTTGCCCAGGGCCACGTCGCAGCCGAGTTCCATCAGAGCTGTGCCCGGCGTGCGTATCACTGAACCGCGTTTCCTTCTCCCCCGAGCCCCAAATTGGGGGCTCCCGTTGGCATTGAATTCTCCCCCGAGTCCCAAATTGGGGACTCCCGTTGGCACTGAATTGGTGACAACCACCACTGGTTGACGGTTATTTTGTTACTTTTATTTTCTAACATTTTCCTGGATGACAGGAAAGTCTGACCAAGATTAAAGATTTGCCCTATATCTGCCCCCAAATTACAGCATCATTTACAATGGCCACGGCACAAGTGCCCACTGGCGAGTGTGGCCAGTGATCGGAGGAAGAAGTCACGGTACACCTCTCCAAAGGAATATCATTCCGCCAGGAACAGGAGGAAGTCCTGCCAATTGTGACGGCAGGGGTGGGCCTGGCGAGCGTTAGGCTAAATGAGACAAGTCAGAAGGAGAAAGACAAACACGTATATGTGGAATCTAAAAAAACGAACTCCAGACAGAGATCAGGCTGGTGACTGCCAGGTGGGGTGGGAGATGGAGAAATTAGGTAAACGTGGTCAAAAATTACAGACTTCCGGTTACAAGACAAGTAAGTTCTGGGGATGTAACTTACAGCATGGCAACTGTAGTTAACACTCCAGCATACATTCCCGTTACTCACAGAGTAGGTCTTAAAAGTTCTCATAATAAGGAAAAAAACTTACCTATGTGAGGTGATGAATGTTAAGTAGTCTTATTATGTCATCATATATATCTATCTCTCTATAGAAATCATTATGCTGTACACCTTAGCCTTATACCATGTTATATCACTAATATCTCAATAAAACCAGAAAGTTTTCCCAAACATGAACCTCAGATAAGCTGCCTGAGGATATCTGAGAGCTGAGCGAGATTATATACAAACCACCTGTAATATCCCCTGGTGTTTAGTTGATTTAATTCAATGCGGTATATCTGAATGAATGCTTAAATTTCAATTAAATGTAATATTTAGCTTGCTAAAATTCCATCCAGACACACTCCGTCAAAATAGGTCACAAAATTACACAGCACCACCCTCTCCTGCAAACCCCACACTGTAGCACTGTGCTCGGGCTGCTTCCACATGCACCCTACGGGACGGGTTTATATTTAACAGCCGCACTCAGTGCTTTCTGAGTGGCGATAGGCGTTTTCTGTTAAAAATGGCCGAGGGTGATGTTGACAGCCGCTATTTTTGCCTCCCGGTGCCTGAGCCGGGTGTGGTGCTGAATGGCAGGCTGTGTGTGCAGCCGGGCGAGTCTCCGCGAGGTGTCCCTCCCTCCACGCCAGCCGGGGCACCGGGCGCGGGACGCAGTCACCTCGCTTACAGAAATGACAACTACCCTTCAATGCAAACATTTAAAGAATGCTAACAGTGTTCCTGGGCCACGTGCCATACTGGTTTCTTATTTAAAGGACAAGAGGCTACGGCGTTTGGTGTATTTACAGAGTTGTACAGCTATCAGCACAATCTGTCCAGGTGAAACTTTTCAAAACGTTCGTTTTTCTTCAAAAATTCAGAAAGTTTGCTGTGGGGACACGATCAAATTCCAGTCCCGTGGAAAGCCACCCAGCTCTGGGAGGCGGTCACGTGAACTGGGGGCAACTCGGGTCATTTCCGAAGGGTTTTAAGCGAAGCATCTCGCTGTCCTGAAGCGACACGCGCCCGAAGAGAAGCTGACCCTGCAGGTGCACAAGGCCCCCCAACCTGGGAGTTAGAAGGCACTCTGCAGAGGCGCAGGCCGGGCTCGCCGAACTCTGCTCCGAACTCAGGGCCGGACTCTGTGGAAATCAGGGATGGAGGTTCTTCCAGGGGCTGGGCTCTCAGGCCCAGAGCGGCCTCCGTGGTGGGTGGGGTGGGGCTGCCCCCACCTGGGCTGGGACAGTGAAAGCTTCTGTGTCTACCCCAGCCAGGAGGCCTGGCAGCCAGGAGGGCACGGTGGGGAGGTTATCATGGTGAGGGGCTGAGGACTGGTTTTTAAGATCTTGGCGCAAGGAGGCATAAATCTAATTTTCAACATCTATTCAGCAAGCCCTTAACCAAGCACAGCCTCTCCCCATGCTGCTGAGCCTCCTGGCTGTCCCTGCACTCGACTGAGCTGAAGTGAAGAAGCCAGCATGCACACCATGCTTTTGCTGTTTTTACAAATAATGACATAAAAAAGCTGCCTCCCCAGGGATTTCCCGGTGCTATTCACATCAGAATTCCCTACTGGAGCCCCCCCCCCCCCCCATGAAAAACACTAGAGGAGAATCCAGTTTTACCTGTGAGATCCCTAACCACTAGCTGGCCCGCGAAGGGGAGGGGAAATCGTGCAACGTCTTGGGAAGGCAGTGGCAGTGTCAGCAGTAGAGGTGTTCGCACACCTGCTGGCCAGAGCTCTTGCACTTCTCGGACTGTCTCCACAGAGACCTCTGCAGCCTCCGGGGCTGGTGGTGGACAGCCTGCGGCCTGGCAGGGGCCGGGCTAAGAGGCAGCGCCCAGGCCGGGGAGCCGCGCAGGCAGCCGTCCACAGGAGCTTGGGAAGGAGAACTAGCTGACTCTCCAGGAAGTGCCCGGGGAACGCGCACACGGTAGGACATGCATGGACTATGCAGGAATAGGGGGCGAGGGGTGGGGGCGGGAGTTGCAGACGGTACTGGGAGGGCACCCAAGACGCAGGGCGGGGGCTCCCTCCAGGGAGGGCACTGGACGGAGGGCAGACACGTCCTCCCGCTGCGTGTGCTCCCTGTGCACACGGCCTGTATGTGCGGTGCAGCACAGGCCGCTCTGCATCAGTGCGGCCACAGATGGCCATCCGCCCAAACCCTTCACTGACTTCACGGTGGCTGCAGCCCCTCACCGGAGGACAGCCACCCCGGGGAAAGCACCGTCCGCTGAGTACACCTT